ACTAAAATTGTCGTGTATTGGTAACGATTTTGCCTTCATTTTATTCAAAAATCTATTTTTTTTTACCAGTCTTGCTCTTCGTTTGGCAACAGTTAGGTTGGTGCAAAATGCTAAGTGCAAGACCAAGACCGATTTTGAGCAACACTAGTAATCAACTTTTAAGTGCTAATTATTGAGGTATTGTGGTGTGTAATTTTGAAACATGTGAACACGGATTTGATTCTTCTTGCTATGTAGATTTTGTTGAAAATTATGGTTGTGAGTCTAATTATTTGAAAGATTATTGTGAAGTAATTACAAATACATTCTGCTATGTTACTTTCATTTCATTTCATTCGTTAGGATTCGTCATTTTTGTAGAAATCGAACTTAGGGAAATTATTTTTTTTTTTTTTTAACAAAATCATACTAGTGTATATTTATTTTTGATCTGGTATATTCTTAACATGTTTTGAAATATTTAGTTTATGGAACTTTTTAGAAAAGCTCGAGGACTTGTTGAACTATCAGTCATTCTTCTTTATGGCGTGCGATTCACAACTTAAGTATACACTCTGGAGTGGTTAGCCATGTTTGTTATACTTGTAAACAACCCATATCTTTTAAAAGTAAATAACAGCTGAATAAACGAAAAATATTCTCATATCTCTTACACTGAATTGATCTTACTGAATAGTTTCTCAAACTTAAATGGGTCAGGGTCTATTTTTTCGAAGATATTGTGTGAATCAAGAGTGATATAATAATAGTAGTATAAGCTACGTTTGGTTTATCTTGAACAAGAGATTGTTATGTGAAATTATTTCAATGTTAAATTTATATTATAATTAATATTTTAAAATACATATTATACATTTAAATGATGAGTATATATTATAGATATATCATTTAAGTAAATGTAAAAAAAAATAAAATTGATTTATACCACTTTCATTTTAACTCCCTCAATAATACTTTAAACATACATTTATTTATAAATAACGTATTGTTTGGATTATGGCTCAATAGATGATTTAATACACTTGAAATCTTGATCTTCTTTCTGAACCTTACGCAACTGTCTGAAACATCTAAACAACTTTATACACACGTCCAATGATCTGTATATGTTATGTCGTAACTAGACAAGACTCGCATTGTTCCCACATGCTCAAAAAGGTTTTTTGTTTGTCTTGAAAGATGAAAAGAAAAAAAAAGAAAAGGCGAACTTGTCAACTGCCTGAGTTAAAGAAGGCAGCCTGCTGTTGAGTAAATCAAAAGTCCTAGTATGGCTGCGCACATGTGGGTGTATTTGACATCTCTAACCTACTTCTTTCGGTTTGGGCTTTTTGTGTCTGTCCTTGCCCACCTATTTTATTTCTTTTATAGTATCTTGTAAATTTTTTGATTTACTATCGTTTGTTATTAAAATCTGGACAAGAAATGTGTCGCAGAATATAGTGTTCAGTAAATTTGTTGCCACGCCTTTATCCCATCCTTATTTGAAAGAACTTAATAGAGCACAGCTATTGAAAAGAAATGAAAGTTGCAATGTAAAGAAAGGTCCATAGGGCATGGCTTAAGTAGACTCAATCTTCCAAGTTGTATGACAATTATTTATTAATAGCATACACGTTAAAATCTCATAATTATAAATAAAATAAAATTGTATATAAAAAAATCGAACATTTCGCAGCAGATAAATTTTAAATTATTTCTTCTGCGAACAGAATTTGAAGATAGAGGAATATTCAATCCGTTCGTTAATAATCATTATTTTAATTTCATAAGTGGTTAACCATATCTCGTTAACGGCTATGTGGAAACAATCTGTTTGCGTCATTTCCGTTTTCAACAAAATATTGCTTATGTATCACGAAACAAATATTAACCTCTCCTTAAGGACTATAAAAGCATGTAATTCGTTCACAATTACACTTGATTTTCTGCTGCATATTTTTTCTCTAGTATTCCGGGGTACAGGTCCCTTTTATTAATAACATCCGCCTGAAATTTCGTAAATAGCTTTAGATCTTCGTAATGTACAACTATTATATTTACACAAATTCTCGGAATTGGAGTGTTTTCAATCTGGAGGTCGGCAAACATTGTCTTTTTAATTAGATTCTAAAAAACTAGGCCCCATACCCATACCCATTTGTTTTCCACTTTAATTGTAAGATAATTTGAGCAAAAAATCTAAAAAAAATGTGATCCTCAAAAATATTGGGCCTTTTAGCGGTTAAACTACACATCCAACGTATCAAAAAAATGAGGTTATATAGGTCAAACGGCTCAGTATTTTTGTAGGCCACCATTTTTCTCGCTTTTGTGGTCTCATCATCTTAGGATCCAAGTCGAAAACAAATGGGTATTTATGATCTTTTAGTACCTAATTAAATGAACAAAGTTTTCCGATCTCCAGATTGAAAACGGCCGAATTATAAGAATTTTCGTAAATTTTTTTTTTTTATGTCCTCACCTTTAACACTATACGAGGTTTATCCGGGTCATGGGGTGAGGTCTGTGATTTAAAAGACTATTTTTATCCAGTTATCTCATGTATCAGGTCGCTTGGCAACGGCGGTGCTGTGCACAAACGTTAGCCCGTTTGGCCATCCCGCCCCCGTAAAAAGGGATCTGTACCACGGACGACTATAGTTCTTTGGTTCCTCCAGAAATACCAAGAATACGGTTTCTTCCATTATAGCTCCGTCACAATGGTCCCTCCTCAAAAATGTTGATGCGGGAACGCTATCTCCTGCCAACCCTGAATCAAGAATATAATAGTTATGGAAATTCTAGATTTCTTTTTGTTTGCAAAGAATAGAGAAATAGCAAGTATTTACTTTTAACTTTACATATATTCTTCAATTTTATTTCTCCTAGATATTTCAGTACTGACAAACGTCTAAATACTCAAATGTATTTCTCCCAATATCCCTAAAGTATCAGCCATGTTTCTACTGACTGTATATTTTGTTTTACTTGTATTTATTTCGGTACTTTATTCTTCGTGAACATTCTTATTCTTCGTTTTATTTAATTTAATGATTTCCACTAGTTATACCAACACCATATTGTCAGCAGATGCAACCATAGGAATATTGGGGGAAAAGTACTGATTACAGTCATCTGTGTCTCACCTACAAGAATATGTTTGACAAAGGGTGAACTAGGATGGCACTAATTGTATGTTGAAACTAACGCCTCACTCATAGTATATCTATAAAGTGAATCATATTATTTTAAAAATTAAAATATAATAAATTTATGGCTATATTAAATATATATCTTTTATAATTCAACATTTTTGTGAGCTAAATTAAATGCATGATGGGAGTGAGGAGTTTCTTCTGTGTTCTCGTTTCCCCTCTACCACATTCTTGTGGGCGAGCTATAATCATCCAGTTTCCTGGGAGTAAAATTATGTTAAAATGCTTGCTTTGTTTTTTTTTTTTTTTATAATCTATTAGTTTTTAAAATTATCTTTTTCATTTTCTAATTTAAAATTTTTCTTTTTCAGGTGAGTCTCTAAGAATTGCGACGTAGTTGGTAATGTAAATTAGAATTATTTAGTGCTACTCTCCTTATCACATTCATCCTATTCTTTATTATTTTTGCTCCTATTCAACAAAATAAAACCTTTATTACGTTGTGTATTGTATTTAAATATTCTTTAAAATTGTTTATGCTTTTTGTTTAAAATATCGAGAAAAGCTAAAGTAAAAATATTTCACCCTACCAAGTTTATTCTAAAAGACCAATAGGAAAAAAATATATTAAATTGTTATTACAATACGAAAATATTACAATTATAAAATAATTCAATTTATATTAACTGTCCAAAATTATAAATTTTTCTTATCGTCTATGCTATTTGTGGATTTAATATTTTAATTCATTGCCACTTTTTATATTTTGGTCCTCTGTCTATCTTATACTTATTTATGACCATTCATGTTATAGTTGAGGAATTATTTCGTTTCTTTTTGTGTTATACATTTTACATTCTTGGTTCGATGGTGTGAGTTTTGTTCCAATACTGCCCCTGTTTTTAATATTTGTTTACTAATTGTAATTTTTGTATATTTGATATCATCGCTGACATTACATTATATTATTGTTTATTGCATTTTAACTTGAATATATATATATATATATATATATATATATATATATATATATATACTTTTTTTTTTTCCCTTTGGCATTAAAGACCATGTAGATCTTTTGCCGCTTTAACAAGCCTGCTCCATCTCTGCCTCTCTTGGGATATTTCTTTCCATTTATCTGCACGCGGTGCTATATCATCTAATTGATATAAAAAGCTATATCATGCTAGATTTTTACCATTAATTCAAGTATTTAATTCTTTCAATTTATACCACAGGCGGATTTACGGGGAGGGGGGCTTTCGGGCTGAAGCCCCCCCCCCAAAAATGGTAAAATGTAATCATGTTTTATGGCAAAAAATGTTAAAAAATTATGTCTTAAACTATTATTGCTCGTTTAATTACATTTAATAGGACTTCAAGAATCACTTAAACACCATTGCTCGTTTAATTACATTTAATAGGACTTCAAGAATCACTTAAACACCATTTCATAAAGGTAGTTAGTATCTTTCTGTTTTTCTAAAGTAATTATCGTTATATATATGAAAAAAAAAGCTTCCGCGCTACAGCCCCCCCAAAATTAAATCCTGGATCCGTTAGTGATTTATACGTTTTATCATTTATTTTCTCAAGTATCCCAGTATATGTTATCAAAACCAAAAATCTTCTGTAAAATACTGAGTCGAAGACTGCAATAGGCCAGGATCAAAATTACAAAATAATAGCTAATTGTGACCCACCCTAACCTTCCCCTAGTGATGATGTGTTTATAATCATCTCCGGCTATGTTTTCCCCGCCTCAGTGAATGGACTGTTATTGCCGTCATTATACGGACCTATTCTACTTTTCTTCATTCACGGTATTGTCCCCTGGCTTTATTATATAACACAATACTGCTTCATTCATTTCCAACAGGATTCTCTTTTATGCTCTATTGGTTCTCTCTGCGGAGCAGTAAGCAGCGCATAACTACGACAGACCTGGGCGAAATGTATTTTAATTATTATTTTAAAATACCATGTATTTTATGTTTTTAAAATACAATGTATTTTAATAATAATTTGTTTAAAATACTTACTGAAAAAGTATTATAAATACAAATACTCGGGAGGGCTGGATAAGGCATGCGAAACTAGCTCAGGTTAAACCAAATAGTACTAAATGGTGCACTAGTACCAGGAGATCAAGAAGAGAGGAAATCATCCTGGCAGTCTCAGAATTGTTCACTGCAAATTTTCTCACGGCTAGCTTCTCCACGGTCGGGAACCACCTACCTGTGTCGGGTGTGGCTCCTCTAGAACTGTGAACTACATAATCGTGAATTGTTCACATTATGCGGTTATACGGAAGAACATAAACGTGCATGAAACTATTCCTAAGGAGCAGGGGTGCCCATCCCTCCCCCCAAGGCTGATGGCGCATAAACCTTTTCTCACCCCTCCCAAAATATTTTATTGTTCTCGGCTTCTTAAAAACAGTGGAAGAGAAAGTAGGAGAATTTAAATATTCGTATATTATATAAAATTACACATCTTGCGGTCTGTTCCATGCTTCCACTTGTCTTTTGCTTTGAAGTTTTTCATTTTAAGATTCACAATCCCCTCGAAATGTACCCCACTCAAAAATTGAAAACCCCGTCAAAATGTGCTCCCGTTATAAATTTTGATGGCATAACTTGCGTTTATATTTATGTATGTGCAATAAATATATAGATTTTTTTTTCCATTTCCTTTTACTTGTTACTGATTTACTCTCGTATTAAATTTTATATTGTTGTCCAGATACGAAAACCCGCCTGGGGATAACCAACATATTTGTATTAACTTGTCCACAAGACGCATCATTTTGAAAAATATTCATAGATCAACATAAAACCTATTTAATGTCTTACCGCTGTCAATCTTTCCAATCTCGTTTCAATTGCGGTTCTCCTGGCAATTATACACACCGATATGGACACCACAACACCATAACCGGTGGCGTTAGACAAGACCGCTCAACCATGTTTATTACTTCCTCTTTGAAATCTTCAAGGCAATCTCTTATCTTGTCTTTCCTTTTACATCTTTAGCAATAGTTTTGTTTTTGCTACTGTGCATTGTTTTTGATTCTGGAATGTTGTTTGTTGCAATTGTCATTAGGGATTATTAGAATGACAATAGCTAGAAGTTAAGAATTTACATAGAAATGACTTTGTCATACATGAAGTAGATAGGATGTTTTCGCGCGGAAGAAACATTTTAAGTAGATCATAAATTTATATTTAGTAATACTATTATAGTTGACAGAATAAAAGTTTTAATCGAATCGATGTATTGTGATGATTTAATTTATTGCCTGTGTTTTTATTACCAACCCTAAAAAAAATTATCATGTGGTCCCCCGGCTGAAAAGTTTGGAGACCCCCTGGTCTTAAAATATTATACAACTCCTATTTGCTTATTATTTTCGGCCACTCATTCTCTTTATCTCTACCTTAACTGTTTATTCACAGGTTTACATTATGAAACATCAACCTCTTGTGTAAGATAAACGCGCAAATATACTGACGTATCATTCTGTATTAAATAATACCAAGAGCGATTGTTTTTCTGAATTCGTTTACTTCCCAAGTAAAATAAATTTGTTAGTTATTTAATGCGATCTTACGGTATAAACCTATTTTGTTATACAATGTACCAGACAACTGTTATATTATCTACTACAGTCCAACCTCTGTACAAATATTTATACAAATAATTGACTCTGTACATAGCTTTATATATATTTTTTTTAACACGTATATATTTTTTATTTAGCTTTTGAGATTTTTTATTAATTTGAAATTTTTCTGTTATTGAAAATAATCATTTAGGATCCACGTTCACTACAAAAAAAAACCAATGTTAAACCGAATTCGTAATAAATCTTCCACTCTATGTTAAAAAAGAAATATTAGAAGTAGTGAAACATGATTGTTTATTTCATGAAACTTCTAATAATAAACTTCTTACATTTTTTTTTTTTATTATTTGTACGCACAGTCATTCTTAAAACTTGAACGTTCGATCAAAAGGAAATGTTTTTATAAAACTCAGTCAGAAGGAACTCTTTTCAGCTAATTTGATTACAGAGGCCTTTTTACACAACAATAACGTTATTGTAAATTGAAACATTACCTCTTTTACTTTGTTGATAGTCAATCCATACTAAATAAAATAGTCCATGGCACAGTCCCTTTTTTTTACTTTCACTTACCTATGTATGTTATATATAGTTCATTCTTACCTATATATGTAATATATCGTAAGTGTAAGTATTGCGATTGTGAACATTTGAATCTGAGTTTTCAACGGAAATACAAGTTTTGAGGTCCCCTGAGTCCAAATAACCAAGTCCCGAAAAATCATCTGTATGTATGTGAACACTTTACCTCGAAACCGAAAAGTCGTACGAAACTGATATTACATATTTAAGATAGATATAAACGCCTTAGATGTCCTGGCAACTTTTTCCTTAAAATCGTTTAACCGGAAGTGCCACTTTATAGCAACGCCGAAACACATTTTTACAATTTTCTCAAATACGGCTCTAACGATTTTGATTAACCTCGGTATATCATTGCATAATTAAGTGGTCTTTAATATCATTTAGGTCTTATCGTCGTTGATGTGACTTTACAGGGCTTAAATACCTAATGTTCATATGGGTCTTCCTCTAAAGTACCTTTAATATGCTTTATTTTAAATAATCAAATATCTCTCATTAACTTAATAAACTTCGCAATATAAAATAACAGTTTAATAACTAATAGTCGTACAATCCATTTAATAAATAGGACTTTTGTTATTTTAATAGTATTTATGATTTGTCAGCTGCATTCTTTTAGCTTTGGCTTAGTTAAAAATGCAATTCAAAAATTATATAATAGCCCAACATGTCCAGAAAATAATTTCTATTCAAAGTTGAGCAAAGTTCAAAGAGTAAGTGAAAGTTGTGTGCTGCGCGCACCAGATTTTTATCAAATTATTAACATCTGAAACTTCGCGAAGGGCTCCATCTCATCGTAACGTACTACTTTTTTATTTACGAAAATTCTCAGAATCAGGCCATTTTCAATCTGGAAATCAGAAAACTTTGTCTATTTAATTAGCTATTAAAAACTCAAAAATATCTATTTGCTTTTCACTTGTATTCCGTATTATCGGAATTGGGGCGGCGATTTCTCATTAAATAGATTAATTTAAAGAGGCACTAAAAACTTATATGCGTTAGTGAATGTATTCTCATTTACTTAGAGACCTAATTTTTCTTGGAAGAATATTGTGGTGTATATGTTATGTAAGACTATTGTGATTCGGATAGCAAATTGTAGTGCTACCAGAGGGGATATTATGAAGGCAGTGGGTAAGATCCCGGTGGGAACTGTTCTCACAATAATAATTCAGTGTGATTCTAGTAAACAGCCGGCCATTGTCTACTGCTAGCTCCCCGTGACGGCCTCAGTAGCAGGTTTCGTTTCACCAATCGCGGCTTCTTCAGGGTCCTCCACTTCTTATCTTCAGGTCCCTGATCTCACTGGTATGGTTCACTTTACTCTGGAGTTGTTGATTCTTAATATCTTAAAAAAATTATCTCAGTTATCAGTTCAAAATTAAAAATTTCATAACATGTTTTTAATTATGAATTTTAATAGTGCAATGTAGAAAAGGTTTTTTATTCGTGCGGATTTTTCTAATTATTTTTGTCGTCTTCAGAGATTTTACGGGTTAGTATCTTGATGGTTTCATTTCAAATTCAATCTCCCACTTTCACTTACACACGCGTTAATGTATTTCATACACAATATTTTTAAAACAGCCCGTTTGATTTGGCACAAAATCGGAGGAATTCGGGGGTAAGTATAGAATTAACGTAGTCGATATTTATTTATTATTTATTTTTGTGAATTTTGACCTTATTTTGTGACCTTTTGTGCAAAAAACAGTAATTTCATGAAAATGACTCAAAACCTTTTATTTATCATATATAGTTACAAAAAATGCACAATTTTCTGATTTCACAAAGAGAAAATTCATCAAAGTTCTTCATTATTTGAAATTGTAAAATGTTACTTAATGACGTTTTGCTGTAAACTTACGATATGTGAAAATGTAGTTTGTGTATTATGCCTTCATCTAAATACTGCAGTCATGATGTGATGGATAATTATTTTTTCTAGACCTACCCTGAGGTCTAGGGAACCTCTTGGGGCACACTCAGTCTTTATAAATTAGGTATTCTTAATTGAATAATTATTTAAGGAGTAAACCTGGCGGTTGTGCGTCAAGTCTGTCAAAAAAGCACTTAGCACAAACGTAGATCAAGAAACAATACTTCGAAGATACTACTTCCGAGATCCTCCATGGGTCATTGTGATACAGGATATATTTGTTTCTGGCATAATTTAAAAGATTTATAGTTCGAAACGTCATTACATTTTTATAAATTTCAAAAGTTAACTTACTGACGTCGGACAAATTATTTGTTCAGCGTATTTTAATTTATGAAAACTAATACATTTTAACTTTTAACGATTTCACTAAATTGTAGTATTAATAACGTTATAGTGAATTCCAGAATTTTATTATTTGAAGAATAGATATAACATTTTCATTATTATTTATGTTCGGAAATATTAATATTTTTTAATTTATTATATTTCTCAATTGAGTAGGTTTATGGTTGAATGTAGCGAATAATTGAAGAGAAGGATGGTAAAAAATAATTAATTTTATTTATTTTTACATTCGCCGACGTTTCGGCTCGAAATTCAGGCCTTCAACAGCGCTGTTGTACAAGAAGTAGTCAGACAAAAAAAAAAAACGTAAAAAACATCATGCAGAAGGCACATATGGGACGTTTTTTTTTGCGAAATCCGAACAATCGACACTAACAAGGACGTGAAAGATAAAATCATGATACTTAAAAAAAAATATTGAAAATAGGAACCAAAAATAAAACGTTTCAATAAGACGTTTTTTATTGATTTATCTAACGTTTTTTTTTGTCTGACTTGACTTCTTGTACAGCAGCCCTGATGAAGGCCTGAACTTCGGGCCGAAACGTCAGCAAATGTAAAAATAAATAAAATTATTTATTTTTTAC